AACTTCCTGCTCCTTGAATCTGTTTTACGGGGACCTGAAAGAACAAACAGTCCCGGCGCAAATGAATGCTCTATAATGCAACACGTGCTGATTAGCACAACAGCTGAGGCTCAGGGCCATTCATTTTAATTTTTTTTTTCTTACGCTGACCAATAATTCATCCTGAGACATGACTCGTGCATAAATCCAGTCGCATGTAAGATATGAGTGAGAACACAAGAACTGCTAGCGAGTAATCAGTGCAAACTGAGTGTAAGACGTTGTATTTATCTCTGTTATGTTTTCCACGCATCACAGGAAATGCTGGACATCATGAAGGCCATCTACGACATGATGGGAAAATGCACATACCCCGTCCTCAAAGAGGAGACGCCCCGTCAGCACGTAGAAGTATTCTTTCAGGCAAGCAGGCAGTTGGCAGATTTTACTGTTTTATGTACGAGGCTTCAGAAAACCTTCATATCCTCTCCTTTTGTCTGCCTCCAACAGAAGATGGATAAGAACAAAGACGGCGTGGTAACCATAGACGAGTTCATCGACTGTTGCCAAAACGTAAGGCCGATCCCCAGAACATCAGCTCACACTGCTGCTGGCACAGTCTCAGCACCGCTCATCGTATTGTCTCTTTTATTTTGTATCCTCAGGATGAAAACATCATGCGATCGATGCACCTCTTTGAAAATGTTCTTTAATTTCCGGCTGGCTGTGGAGGATTTGGAAGAGACCATCATCTTTAGCTTGGCCCAGTTACTGACTTGGACTCATACTGTGTACAGTGTGCTATGCAGACTTTTTGACCATAGATAAAGTTATTCTTCATTACAGAGGGCCTCAGTTATAAGTAGGCGGTATAGCCGTGGACACTCTGGAGCTGGTTGCCGGTTTCTTTTAAACAAATTCGGGAAACTTCTAAGTGAAATAGTGAAAATGGATTAAAAAGAGATGCTTCAAAATGAAACCATTAACTTTAAGGTTGATTTCCGCCTTCTGTCTCTGGAGTGTCTTTGTGTTTGCCGAACTCAGAGTTCTGCCTAAGACGTCCAACGAAAGGCTTCAGACAGATTTTGTTCTGTTTTATTTACTGCCAAATCAGATCACTGTGACTTTCTGCAGCATTAGAAACACCCGAACAAAACATCGGGTGTAACGTCACGCTCCGTCTGCTTTTACATTCCAGACCGGCTCCCAATTCCAGAGTGTTCCCGCCCGATTTAGTTAACCATCGTGCTCTGTCTTTCTGCTCTTTAAAGGAACTGTTTAGAGGGGGAAAAAAGAAAAAACAATACATTTTACCATTTTAAACTGTACATACTATAAAAAACATTATTAGATAAGAACTCTTTGAGAAACTTTTGTTCTTGTTTACTTGCCAACTAGAATGAGACAACACAAGGATTGTATTGATGTCAAACTTGGACCATAATATCGATGGTTTGTCTACAGAAGCACACAGGTAGCTCTATTTATGATGTTATACAACCATTTCTTTGTCATAGGAGAAATGCTGCTTTCAGTGGAATTCATTTAACCTCATGTATGTATATTTCCTGTAAAGTAAAATCATCCATCAGTATGTTTTTCTTTGGGTTTTATGAGTTTACACTAGGAGCAGTGCTTGGGATTATTTATAAGGTGTTCAGGTCATTGTACAGTATTACATGAAAAGTCGCCCTCGGGTGATTTTTCAGGTCTTTAGATTTGTTCATATGAGTCACTGTTTTTAATAAGAAAGGCCAGTGGGGTTTGGTTATTGGTACAAACTTTGTATTATACTCATTAGTTTGGGTTTTCTTGCTGTTTCTCTCCTCCTCCTCCATCCTGTGGGATGCAGCTGCCCACACCGATTCAGCCTGATTGGTTTGATTGGCTCCCAAATGTTAGCAAAAACTACTGGATTATTGAGAGAAGTGTCTCAAGTGTGTCTGAGTGTTTCTGTCTGACATGCTCTCTCTTTTTTTCTTGCTCTTTTTCACAGAGACTTGGATATTAGACACAGGAAGTAGGCAGAAATACGACTTATACTTGAGAACTGTGGTTTATGGTTCATCATGTTTGTCCTTCGAAGTGTACAGTGTGTTTCTACGATGTATCACTGGGAGTCGGGAACATATGAACCTCCTCAGTGAGGCATGTTAATCATCCATAATTTAGTAAAGAAAATGACACTTTTTTCTCAGCCCTGCTTCTTGTTATTTATGTAAAAGGAGATAGTGTGTTTGGTTTTAGCTTGTTTAACTTGCTGTTTGTTAAACCGCTTGTTTGAGTGTGATTTGTATTATATTTGCAGAGACCTGATGATGAAAAGTAACTTTTATCCACTACGGAATACAAAAGAGCAACACGGCTGATTTGGAAAGTTACAAACAAATCAAATAGTTTGCAGACAAAAGCGCGTCATATTTTAGATCTAAAAGTACCAGGCCACCTACACATTACACCCACAGGAGCGGCTCAGCAATGGAAACCCAAGCCATGAAGCGCCCGGTGCACAGTTTCCGTGCTGATGCTCTGCAACTTCACAATCTGACACTTCATGGCTGAGCTGCTGTGTTTCCTAAACACTTCCACTTTCCAATAATCCCACTTACAACTGATCGTGGAATATCTTGAAGGGAAGAAATTTCATGAACTGACCTGTTGCCGATGGCTGTCCTATTACAGCACCACCCTGAAATTCATGGAGCTCATTCGAACCATTCGTTCACAAATGTTTGTAAAGGCAGCCTGCGTGGCTCGGTTATTGATTTCATACATTAATGGGACTGAAAACACCTGAAATGAAGATTAAGAGGCGTGGCCCAAATACGTTTGACCATGTAGTGTATGTTGTACTTACTGGTTCTCACTGAAGCCTCCTGGTGGTAGCAAGGTGGAATTACACAAGGCGATTGACTTGATTCTTTCTTGCCTGAATGGCATAAACTGGGATATATAATAATATTGTTGTTTAGAGTGTATAGAGAAAAAAAGTGGATGAAAAAATGAATTTTGTATTTTGAATCTTACTAAGTGTAGCTAAAATTGATATTGAAGAAGGAGGATGAGCATCAGTCGTGGTAAGTGCTACTATCTCTTTAGCAACAATGCTCTGGTTTAAAAAGAACAGCGACAATGAGGCGTATGGATATGAAGTTTTCATTTTAATATGCGTCAGAGGGTGATGTAATAAATTGCACTTGTAAACAAAACATAAACGTTCACAAAGTTGAGCAACATTTAAAGACAATAGTTTCCTTGGATTTTTTTTTTTTTTAAAAAAGGACATTTAAGGTGAGAAATGAAATGCATCTGGCACAAATTTCCACAAAAACGATCTTTCCAGTCAGATTCCAGCCACTGCTTTCTACATACTTAAATTACCTGAGATAAGTTTGCTTATAAACCAAACAATTATACTGTATTATACAGAGACATGTAGATTTTATGATGTTACATATATCAACGTAAAAGCAGGCAAATAGATAACATTAATTATACTGATGCAAGTACAGTACCTCTTAACAGAAGGTGACCTTACACTGAACGAAGTGATGATGTTACATGTTATCACTGAACACAAGATTTAATGATTTTGGATGGTTATGCAGTAAGCAGATAGTCCCTTACACTAATGATCAGCCGACACAAACAGTAGCTCGACTGTTTTTATCTGCCATAAAAGTCGGCGTATAAATTAAAACGTGCTGCAGTTGAAGCACAACAGCAGCGCAGGCCCAAACCAACAACAACAAAAAGTCATATATAAATTCCTATGTTGGATTGTTGAGGTAATCCCTCACTAAATATTTTCCGTTTTGAGCACCGACTCTGAGTCGCGCGTAATTGGAAAAGAAAAAGTGTCACTTTTCATCAGACATGTTCTCTATGTAGAGCCGCAGCTGTGTTCGTCTCATTGTGCGCTCAGAGCACCCAAACAAAACGCCATGTTTACCACTGCATGCAGTGAAGCCATAAATGATCAAAGAATGAGATTTTTGGTGGGGGCATGTGTGAATCGAATGCTTTGAATCACTCGGGGTGCGATAACAGGACCGCGCTTCGGTCCTGGCAGCCTGTGGCTTTTGTTTCAGCGTTGTTTCTGTTAAATTATGAAATGACGGATACATGCTTTAAACATTTATTGAAATGCATTTTCTGGTCAGACACCAAAAGCGTGATAAAATGTAGAAACCTCTGCAAGACCTTTGAATATTACAAATATTCTCTGAACATCTGTTGTTTAAAAAGAGTTTTAAAAAGTGAAATATACTGAAATATACTCAGTCTTCCTGGGAGAGTAGACTAGTGAACGTCTACAGTATGGCCCACAAATAACCCCTTGTCTAATCCAGATCCTATAAATCTACAAAGTAAAATGGGGAAAAACACTTTAACCGATTGAATACACAGAGTGTTGTACTGCTTATGCCGATGGGCCTCATGCCAGAGTGCATTTCAGCCTCAGGCATCGATGCCAGTCCATCACACAGAGTACCCAAGCGGGAAATCCTCAATGTGTTGTCCATTTCATTCCCTTATTTACTTTAAAGTTCCTCATGTGTCAAGTGGTTATTTGAAGATCATACTGTGGGCCACTAAACAATGATAAAGGCAACTTTGGACTCTGGAGGTTGAATTGACGACGGGCTCTCCCTGGTTCCTAGTTTCTTCTTGTCATTCTGTGGCTCATATTAAAGATTCAAACAGAACCTAATGAGACTGACCCTTAGAGGTTTGCACACGGTCCAGTTGGGGAAACTGAGCCCGAACGTGAGCGGGTTAGGTTAGCAGCTGCCTGATCTCTCGGTGAACGTAGCAAAGGAAGTCCATGTAGGAAGCCCCGCCGTGCAAGCCTTTGTCCTCCACCAGGAACTGACGGAACAGCATCTCCGGTTTGTCTTTCTGCCTCACAATTTGCAGCTGAGCAGGGCAGAAAAGAGAAGCGTGACTGATTTCCAGTACAGCTGGAACACAGGAGCTGTCACACTACAAAATCTATTCACATTGTTTCTGTTGTCACAGCTGGCACGTTCCTGTTTTTGTGGAACATGTTTCTCATCTATTTTATCGAATTTACTTCACTTCACTTCACTTTAAGGCTGATGTGTGTGTGTGTATATGTGTGTGGTCCTCTGTGGATCCAGGATTCAAACTTTCTATATATTAACTGCTCAATAGCACTGGGTGTGCAGTGCATGGGGCCATTTGTACAGTGCTTTCTGTAGATGTACTTTGATTAGACTATTTATATAGAAACAGGGCAAAACATGAATAAATGAATGATGTTTTTGCAACTTTTGGGGGAGTGTATTTACTGTAAAGCTCCACTAGAGGGAAGCAGAGATCAACAAAAGCCTCAATATCGTCTCTGCCTCACCTCAAGTAAACTATGTTCTCTCTGGTTTAAAGAGGTTTAAATAAGTTCAAATATAAAGGATGTGAACTGTGTTTAAACAATGCTTTTGGATTGTGTTTCGGCTTACCTTCATAGAGTTTGACCTCTTTTCAAGAAGGCCACTGATGATGGAGCGGACCTTCCTCGACAAAGGGTTGTCAAGCTCCGGCAGCGCACACTAAAACAAACAAACAAACCAAAAGATTTTGTGTAATTAGGAGAAGTTTGATCACTAAAAGTAAAGACCAGTCCTAAATACTGCTTGCCTCCTTCCTGTGCCGCAGTACCACATACTGAAGTGTTTGAGTTCTGCCTTGAAAATAAACGTGGATCTTTGAGCTCTGTGTGCGGGGCGTACTTGTTTAAAACTTTGAGGTTTACAAAAGCTTTGACTCAGTTTAGCTCATTTTACACAGCAGTGGAGTTCAAGTGAGTCATACTTGATAAAATGTGGGCACAGTCGAGCATGACTGAATTATGATGTGCTGAGATGATTTCTCAAAACTGGACTTTTACCATCCAGACATTCTCTGACCATACCGTAATGCCTCCAGGCACCGGGGAGCTAAAATGTCAACTCTAATATCTCAAAAACAATTTCATGTGGATTCTGAGCACACTGAGGCCAAAGTGATGAAATGAATGCTGACCATGTGTCCTTGCAGGTGGGCGAGGGAGGGCACGTTGAACAGGCTCTGGATGAAGTCTGGTGAGCTTGCTTGGCCCAGCCACAGGAACATGGACTGGCCGTTCTCCAGCAGGAAGATGCCAGAGTCTGTGAGACGCTCCTCAGAGCAGCGCACAGGAGTGGCCGGCTTCTCGCTGTTGACGTCTATGTTGTGCTGAAAAACAGTACAAAGGGTTTACCAAGTGAAACTAATAGTAAATAGTAGTAGTAAATAGAAACGTCTAAGTAAGATGATCAAGCGCAAAGTGTTTTTATTCCCTACCAGAGGGATGAGGCGTGGGTAGAGCAGCAGCTGGGTGTCCTCCACTCCCATGGCCATGACTGACAGCCTCTGGTGGGCTCTGTCGTCCGTGGAGAGCTCAGTGCTGCCCACCAGGGGGGCAGTTTTCATCAGACTGTTCATGTAGACTGGGAACACTTTCATGGCATCAGGGAGGATCAGCTACAGGTGGATTTATTTAAAAAAATATATCGTTAGTTTTTTTTTTTTATCCTAAAGTCAAAATATACATCGAAACTTCTTTCTAGGTGTGATTCTCCGACCTGGCTAGCAGCGGAGGGGCTGGCACAGTTCTTCCTGTAGCAGGCCAGCATGTGAGCCGTCTGGTTCACCAGGATCTCCCTCACATTCTTTAGAGGCTGGTTCAATATGGCACGGTAAGCTGAGGGGGCAGGACAAAAGATTAGTTAAAAAACAAACAAAGCAAGAGCAGGAGAGAAGAAAAACATGGGGGGCGGCTCAGAGGCACCTGATGGCAAGTATGGGGGAAAAAAAGGTGGAAGAAAAGATAAAAAACCAAAAGGTAACAGAGGTCAGTAACACAGCTGGACTCATGGTCCGCTATGTGCAGATTACAGAAGGACGGCATCATGTGAAACATATGGTTCACATACATCACTGAGTAAAAGCAGATTATTTAGTGATACATGGGATATAATCAACAAATGTCAGATGACATTTGAGTGTGTTAGCTGGCCGTGCCTCTGCACTACATCATAAAATATGTTTCCCACAAGCAGAGTTTTAACTAATGCAGTCCACCTGAACTCCAGAGGAATCTAACCTGATTTGGCAAAGAAGTTGATGAGCGAATCGGTCTCGCAGCTCTTGTACAGCTCTGACAACTGCGAGCTGCAGTTCAGACTCAGGTTGTGGATGCGGAGACGTCGCTGCCCGCCGATGGTGGTGTACAGCAAGGCACACTGGGGAAAAAGCGTGAAACATAAGCTTTAAACATACTTGGGTTTTTAATCTTCAGAGAAAAGATTTCAAATATGACCAGTCTGGAATAAAGCTTGGTTTAACACACACCTGCATGAGCGCTCCGGTCTCCTCGCTCAGTGTGTCGTCGTGCTTGAACTCTACTGTCACGCCGTTGTCGCAGTCCACCGCTGCCATCTCTACATCTGTGGTGTTGTTCATATACATGCCGCCAAAGAAGTCAGTGGCTCTGAAGCCTAAAAGAGACACAGACCAGTGTGAAAAACTGGGAGGTAACTCGCCGTGATAGATCAGAACACACCAAAAGAGCGACCGTGTCTTTCCTCTTACCCGTGCTAGTACGAACACGCATGATGGCATCAAACCCGATGCTCTTCTGTACATCTTTCCTCAGGTCCCTCAGAAAATGCTCCCCATCTGTCTCTATCTGTCAACAAAAAGCAAAAAACAAAAACAAACAACGTTTTAGCCAGCAGATGGCAGTGTTGTTACTGTTGGAGCCGTGTCTGTAAGAAGCAGATCCAGGCATAAAAATCAACACCGTACTTTTTCAATATGTGCAAACTTCCCATGCTTACTGCACCGTTCCTTTGGGACTATTTTATATCAGACTGGCTTCTGTGCCAAACTCATTATGTAGGTACAATTCACTTTTATTAGGCAGCAAACTTTGCCTCTGTGTGAAATTAGGACTTCTTAATACAAGAATTACAAGAATAAAACAACTGCTCGTTATGAGTCTGCATGCAGCATTTGTGTGTGTGTGCGTGTGTGTGTGCACTTAGTGCCAAATACAATGTAAACAGGCACCACACGTCTGCTGGTACCTGGAAGTTGCTGTACTTATAGACGGAGCCTCCGGTGTGTGACGGCACATCAGCCATGGTTGCTATGTCCGTATACTGGCTGGGGAAGAGGAAGAGATCCACACAGCAGCCACTTGCCACACAGTCTTTAGACAGCTGCTCATAAACACCTTTCTGAGGCTGGAACAGGGTCTGTGGAAAAGTACAAGGCAGTTTACCAAGATTAGGTCACCAGTTTCAAACACTTATTGTAATTAGACTGAGATCAGACCAGCATTGGTTTTCCTTATGCCCAGCGCTGTGTATTCAGAATTCAGATTAGGGGCACAAATGACATAAAAAGGTACTCACCTTCTCCTTGTCTGTGTTGACCAGCTTTTTATCATCCCTGTTCTTCAGTTTGCCTGGAGCCTCGGCAGTGGGCATGGACGAGTGGAAGATGAAGAGCTTTCCGCTACATTCTGCTGCCTGGAGGGCGGCAAGAGATGGAAGGGGAAAAGAAGATCTCGCTTAGCCACGAGGTCAAGAGGTGAAAAAAATATCAACTCCAGCAAAGATTCTAATGCTAGACGTCATGTACGCCACATAAATGGGCACGAACAAATAAATACGTCTCTGACTCCTCGCTGTTGTATAATATCGCAACTGCTTCCAATTAAGAGCTGCGTGGGAACTTTTCCTTTGTCACTGGCCAAAACACTGACTTCATATCACTGGGAAAGCTTGCTGGACTTTAAGTAAACACAAACATATCAGGGGGAGTAAAATCTACATGTTGCTTCACTCAGTTGATAGGTTGAATGAGTTCAAGCTTGAGAGCCAGTGTTGGTGAGAGCATAGCAGCACTACGTTTTAGATTTAAATTACCCCAAACCTTCAGGAAACCCACACCCTCCCTGAAACAAACCTACAGTAAGTGCTTGTTTCAGGGAGCTACACTCAGTTCCACTTCAGTGTTGACAGGTGTCACACTGAGGCTAACCTTAAATGCCTCCACGCCGGCCTGGATGACAGGGGCAAAGACCGTTTCGCTCTCAGCGGTGTCCGCAAACATGTCAGGGATCTGGTCCAGGAGGCTGCAGAGACAAGCAAGAGGATTATGGTTTGACACGGACGTGTCACACTGCCTCGTTAATGCTTTCACAACAGCTACTCTTGAAATGTTTGACAGTACTTTGCGTCCGATGCTCTCTGCTAGAGGGCGTCTAAGATAAACAGTGACTCCGCACATCAGTGACGAAGTGCTTCTTACTTGTAGATGACGGCTCTCGAGTCCTGGTAGTTGACAAGGAAGCCATCGAGCAGCGGGACGAACATCTCGGCCGTGTCTGACACCACCATCATCTGCGGCTGAGCCAAAGCGCTCTTCACGTTGTAGAAATGAAGGACCTTGTTGTAGGTGACAAAGCCGACCTTTATTGCCGAGGTCTCCATGCCTTCCTCTCTGTGGAGAGAACGAGCAATCGGTGAATTCCAGGATGGATTAAATCCAAAGGATGTGTATTTACTGGGGAG